CTGGTTCTTTGTTCTTCCACAAGAAGAGGGGGGCAAAAAATCCATGTTGTTTTTCTTTAATTTATTACTTCATTTTTCATTTCCACCAAAGAGGAGGTAAACTGTTAAATGCACGCAAGTTGCCCTCGGCGCACAATAACATAGCAACACTTGGGAGGAGAAAAAACAGCCATAAAACTTGTAAAATTATGCCCACACCGCACAAGATTAAATCCTCCCCATGGCGGCAGACAGGCTCCCAGAAGTCCATGGCTATAGGGCCGCCTGGGTGAAAGCCCCACCGTGGAATCCACTAAAGGTCTGCTTTTATGGGGGGCAGTATTATTTAATTGGTTTATTTTTCTAATACAAGGTCTTTAAAATGTTTTGACCGTGTGGGGCCTGCGACTTGGGGCCTTTGCCTAGGGCTGCCAGCCCTCGTGTCTCCTCCAGCCCTGCCGGTGACTTCACTGGGCGCCATGTGACCTGGCTTTGGCACCCCAGGTCTCAAAAGCCAAAGGGGTCCTGTGTGCTTTTTATGGGAAAGATAACAATCTCACTGTTGATGGAGTGCGGGTCTGGGCCAGGCCCTTGGTGAAGCACAATCCTTCCCACAGTGAAGGCAGTACCTGTGTTTTACAGATAACCTCTCGGGGCCTCCTAACTAATCACCTAACTAATGTCAAGGCCATGTAGGAGGGGACTTCAAGGAGGCCATGCTAAATGGAGTGAAAGTACCAAGAGTTGATCTTGGTACAAAGAAATTTTGAAACCCATGCATCTGTGGTCAGGTAGTTACATTCTTCACAATGGTGGCAACCTGGTACAGATTCTGAACATTTCTGCACACTCCTGGCACACTGCATCTCTTTACTGTGTTCGTTCCATACCCTTTTGCTTCCTTTCATTCAAACTTGAACCTACCTCTTATATTTGCCTTTAGTATTCTCTTTTTCTATAATAGAGTACTCTGTACTCAACCTGTGGTTATCTTCTTATCATTCAGGTTCACTTTACTCATTCCTTCAGAGACACCTTTTCTGACCATCTTCATATTGAATTTCCGTATAACACAAAAATTGTTTGGTGTATTTCTCTATTCACTTATTTACTTATTTTTATATATATTTTTTTTCTATTTTCCTGCCACCTTTGAGAATTTAGAACCATGAGATTAAGGCAGGGGTTGGCCAATTATGGCCTGTAGGCCAAGAATAGTTTTTACATTATTAAATGGTTTTTTTTTTTTTTTGGAGAGATTTTCACTGTAGGGCGCGTGCGCTCGCCAGACAGACAGAGAGAGACATAGAGACAGAAAGCGAGAAATCACCCCCCAGGGGGGATGGTCACGCCGCAATTCCTTCTCCTCCATTCTCCTCTCGGGATCTTGGGCACGCACGCACACGCGCCCGGCGTGAGTTTTAAGCCACCGGGTCCGGGACACGAACCGTGGTCGACTACGTGGGAGTCCAGCGACATAGCCATTACGCTAACTGCTGGTTCCCATTATTAAATGTTTTTTAAAAATCAAAAGGAGGATAAAACTTTGTAACATGTTAAAACTATATGAAATTCAAATGTTGGTATCCAGAAATAAAATTTTATTGGAATACAGTGATGCTCATTCATTTATGTATTATTTATGGCTGCCTTTATGCTATCATGGAGTTCAATAGTTGGGGCAGGGATTATATGTGATGTTCCCATCATTTTGCACTACTGCTTGGGAGACCTCAAATCACAATGACACAGATGTAACGACAGCATTTCAAGTGCCACAAATACTGTGTTACTGCAATGAAAAAAAAAAAGAAAAAGAAAAAGAAAGAAAGAAAGAAATACCAGTACATACTCTTCAGGTCAAAACAAGAGAAAAATGGCTACTACATGTCATGCATTAAAGGACTACTGAAGTATGGGTCCTTTTGTTATAAAGTTAGCTGGCCAAGCATTGTGTGTACTATGTAATGACAGTATACCTATACTACCTACGTCGTAGTGTATGTCGACATTAACCAGACAAGCACGCATCACAAATTACCAACTCACAGGAAAGCAACAGCAAGAAAAAAAAAAAATTACAATGTAAAATGTAATACCGCAGCAGAAATTTGTCCCAAAGATCAAAATGAGACTACACAATATCATCCTAATACTAAAACCAACATAAAAAAGAAAATGTATTAGATTGAAAAATGTCTCCTCTGAGACCAACAGATGGTAATAATGGTTACATCACTGTACTACCATGCAGTTGACTACAGTTCGAGTCCTGGACCTGGCAGCTTAAAACTCATGCCAGGTGCATAGGCATGCATGCCCAAAAATCCCAAGAGGAGAATGGAGAAGAAGGGATTTCAACATGGCTATCCCCACTGCGAGGTGATTTTTTTCACTTTCTGTCTGTCTCACCAGTGAGCACACGTGCCCTATAG